ATTATGCCATTTAACGATATATGTATAATAAGGGTTTCACGAAATAATAATAGTATAAAATAAAAAAATTTTATTCAGTTCCATGACTCTGTATGGCGTCTCGTATCTTGCTCCGAGTAAGTGTAAAAAGAAAAACTGACGATTGGCGATCCGTTACACCAAATGTATAATAGTTTTTCAATTACATTATATCCAGTAACGATATATATATGTGCTTCAACTTTATCTTTTCTCTCTTAATTTTTAAAAGATCGTATTTATTTTTTTTCCACCACCGTCATTTCTTTAATAGAATTATTCCTTTCCGCAGTAAAAAATCGTTAAAATCATAAGAAATTAATTTAATCTACTTCTTCCTACATGACTGACATTCTCGGGTACGTGACCGATGTCCTCCAAAACATTTATGATGGAAATTTGGAATACTGCAAGGAACAATTTTATCAAGAGCAACAGAACGAAAAGATAAAACAATTCGATGTGGTACTAAAGAATCTCCTCGACAAACAAGTTTATTTGGAGAAGGAAGTTGCTCGTTATCGATCCCTACTGAGCGAAAGCGACTCGGTGATCATAATAAACGATGAACATTCTCTACCCATTACCCCCGCAGATGAAGGCGTCGTCGAGGTGACGCAGCAAATGTTCGCAAATGAGAAGTTTTGTGAAAAAGACAAGATCGACCTATGCAGTCATAAAATTGATATTCCCATTTCAACTGTCGCCACTTTTCATCCCAACGATAATTCTCCTCCTGATACGCCACCTGCATTAGAACATGAAAGGATTTGCCTCGAATGTTTAAACCAATGTGCGACCGTTGCTATGGCCGTGACTACCGGCGATTTCAAGAAGAGAATCACATGTCCTTATGCATCAGGCCCAATGCTAACGTTGAGAAACGCGATAAATACTATGGTCGACAAAATCGATCAGGTGTCGGTCGAATTAATTCAAGTTGCTCGTGAGGTCGGTGAAGAGGGTAAGTTAGGTGTCCAGGCAAAAACACAAAAATTGGAAGGTGCTTGGAGAGAAATGATGGTACATTTAAATATGATGTCCAGCAACCATTCTGAACAAGTGAGAGATATCGCTGAAGTTTGTACGGCCGTTGCTCATGGTGATCTAAGCAAAAAGATCACCGTTGAGGTCAAAGGAGAAACACTAGTGCTGAAAAATACCATCAACACTATGGGTAACTATGAAGAATCTATTTAATACGAATTTAATAAACTTTCTAAATACCAATCCAATTTATTAATTTGCTTTTTAGTTGACCAACTTAATTCCTTTGCCTCAGAGGTTACACGTGTTGCTCACGAAGTGGGCACCGAAGGTAAATTAGGCGTTCAAGCACAGGTTCAGGGAGTCGGTGGCACATGGAAATTACTCACAGGTTTGGAAGTTGGAAGCATTATCTAGATAACCTATTGTTAGAATGTTATTGATTATTATTTCTATGTTCAGATAATGTTAATACCATGGCGGCCAATCTCACTTCGCAGGTGCGAAATTCATCACTTTTCACTATATGAGAATTAAATTCGCCCACTAACTGCGAATAACTGAAATTCCCATTGATATTCAGGTGCGTGACATAGCCGATGTATCCAAAGCTGTTGCCAGAGGTGATCTTAGCAAAAAAATCACCGTCGACGTCAAGGGTGAAATCCTGGATCTTAAAAATACGATAAATACTATGGTGGACCAGGTAGAATCTCTCTTTTCTTTTATAAAAAATTTCACAATTCATTATTTAACCCAATTTGCTTTCACCATCTTCAAAGCTTCAAACCTTTGCAACCGAGGTTACCCGCGTCTCTCTCGAAGTGGGCACCGAAGGAAAACTAGGCGGGCAGGCCAATATTAAAGACGTTGGCGGAATATGGAAAGAGTTAACAGGTAGAAATATAGGTTGCATACTTTTTATAGCAAATAAATTCTTAAAAAACTTACTTAACAACACAACTTCCAAAAAAAGATAACGTGAACATCATGGCAGCAAACTTGACAAGTCAGGTATTATGTTTTTCTTTCTTTCATTGGTTACGGATGCTTTTATTCCAAGAAAAGGCTAACGCATGAACATCATCAGGTACGAGACATAGCCAATGTATCAAAGGCTGTCGCTCGTGGCGATTTGTCTAGAAAAGTGACAGTTTCCGTTCGAGGAGAGATCCTGGAACTAAAAGTTACTATCAATACTATGGTAGGGCAAAGTACAGTTGAACATCATGGACAGTAAAATATCTTAATATTCATATTCGATTGATAAATTTCCTTACTGTAAACATAGGTTGAACAACTTCGAATGTTTGCGGCAGAAGTGACACGCGTGGCACGAGAGGTGGGAACCGAAGGAATTCTCGGAGGCCAGGCTGAAGTCCAGGGTGTGGACGGCATTTGGAAGAGCTTGATGGACAACGTGAACACTATGGCGAACAATCTTACAAATCATGTATGTTTTTCATCACAAAAATTATCAACCATTTTACCAGGAGAGAAAATTGAATATAATTGTATAGGTGCGAGACATTGCGAATGTATCTAAGGCGGTTGCGCGTGGTGACCTAAGCAAAAAAATCACCGTAGATGTGAAGGGAGAAATACTTGACCTAAAGAATACCATTAATACCATGGTGGATCAATTACAAACATTTGCCGTGGAGGTCACACGTGTTTCCTTAGAAGTGGGAACGGAAGGAAAACTAGGCGGCCAAGCTGTTGTCAAAGATGTTGGTGGAACTTGGAAAGAATTGACAGGTATCAGAATTGTAGATTTTTATGCGAAATCATTCATTCTATGAAAGAAATATTTATTCATCTTATTAAATAATTTAAAAGATAACGTTAACATAATGGCCGCCAATCTCACCTCTCAGGTAAAGAATTTATGGTTAAAATGCAGTATAGGTGACACCAATAATGGGTGTTACCTACATTGCATTTTATCCGAATTTATCAACCTCTTTGGTAACGATTGAGTTCTTGTGTAGGATATATAAATAAACATGTTTGGATTTTAGGTTCGTGACATTGCAAATGTATCTAAGGCTGTCGCTCGTGGAGATCTTAGCAAGAAAATTACGGTTGACGTGAAAGGGGAAATCTGGGATCTCAAAAATACCATTAACACCATGGTGGATCAATTACAAACTTTTGCTACAGAGGTGACCCGCGTTTCGCTAGAAGTCGGAACCGAAGGAAAATTAGGAGGGCAGGCTGTAGTGAGAGATGTTGAAGGAACTTGGAAGGTTTTAACAGGTATCTATCTTTGTCCCCACATTTATCGAATCTGTCGATTAAATCCTTTTAAACAATTGCTAATTCAATTCGTGACGTTTTAGATAATGTCAATATCATGGCACTGAATTTGACAACTCAAGGTAAGTCAATAAATATCCTTTGTTTATCTGTTTTGTAGAATAGGACATATTTGGAATTGATGTCAATTTTTGATGCATAGTCCGTTCCATAGCTGCGGTCACTACGGCTGTCGCATGTGGCGACTTGAGTAAGAAGATTACCGTCGATGTCAAAGGGGAAATTTTAGACTTGAAGAATACTGTTAACACTATGGTGGATCAGGTAGCTAACTATTTTAATGATTAAGTTTAAGTCAGAGGGACAGCTTTTATTAAATGATTGTTGCGACTTTATTCAAAGTTGTCCACATTCGCTGCCGAAGTGACACGTGTGGCTCGTGAAGTGGGCACGGAAGGAAAACTTGGAGTCCAAGCGCAGGTGAAAGACGTAAGGGGAACTTGGAAAGAGATCACTTCAAACGTGAACACCATGGCTGCCAATCTTACAAGTCAAGGCAAGAACCTTAACTCAGAATCAATGTTTATGTAAAATAGAAACAGATCAATTTGATATAATCGCTAACATTATACATTGCATTATAATCATAGTCCGCGCATTTGCCCAAATTTCGGCCGCAGCCACAGATGGTGACTTCACGCAATTCATAACGGTTGACGCTTCCGGAGAAATGGATTCGCTTAAGACTAAGATTAACCAAATGGTATATAATCTCAGAGAGAGTATACAGAAGAATACTGCGGCGAGGGAAGCTGCGGAATTAGCAAATAGGAGTAAGAGCGAATTTTTGGCCAATATGTCACATGAAGTAAGTAATGAATTCGTTTCGGGGAAGAGCAAGCAACTTTGCTGGTGCCTCAACTTAATTAACATTGAACGATTCTATTCTCCAAGATTCGTACGCCGATGAATGGTATTATTGGAATGACCACCTTGACTCTTGAGACCGAATTAACGCGACAGCAACGAGAAAATTTGATGATAGTCAGTTCTTTAGCCAATTCTCTTCTGACAATTATTGATGACATATTGGATATTTCAAAAAGTATAATATGAATGATTGAATTTTTTTATTATTAAAAAAAAAAAAAATTTTTTTTAACCTCTTGAAATAAAAATCCTGTGACATAATAGTTGAAGCCGGCCGGATGACCATAGAACAAATTTCATTCTCTCTGCGATCTGCAGTGTTTAGCGTTCTCAAGACTCTTGCGGTTAAGGCTAATCAAAAAAAATTGGACCTTATATATGATGTAGACAATGGAATTCCAGATCAATTGGTTGGCGATCCACTCCGTTTGAGACAAATCATTACGAATCTAATTGGTAATGCCATCAAATTCACCAACGAAGGAGAAGTAGTTCTCTCCGTGCATATCAAATCGATTGTGGAAGATCAAGTGATATTAGAGTTTTGCGTGAGCGATACTGGCATAGGAATTCAAGAAGATAAGATTGATATGATCTTCGATACTTTTTGTCAAGCTGACGGATCGACGACCAGAAAATTCGGGGGAACCGGGTTAGGTTTATCAATATCCAAACGTCTTGTCAACTTGTTGGGTGGAGATCTATGGGTGGAGAGTGAGTACGGTAATGGTTCTGATTTCTACTTCACAGTGAGTGTAACTCTTGGCTCAACGAGTCGAGAGCACGTTCAGCTAAAAATGGCCCCTTGGCACGGTCGACACATATTATTTATTGATACACTGCATGACACCACCGGGGTCGCTGATATCATTGAAGAGCTAGGACTTCGAATAAAAATTACAAAATCTGTGGAGGAAACAGCTATACTGACGGCGTCGCGGAAATCGGATACTCCTTTGTTCGATACAGTAATCGTTGATGACCTGAGCATCGTTGAACGATTGCGAGAGATTGCTCATCTACGATACATCCCTATCGTTTTGCTGGCACCCATGATTCCAAACCTAAACATGAAGAACTGCATAGATCTTGGAATTACATCATACAGTAGTATACCGACTAATCTACCTGATTTGATGAATGCATTGTTGCCAGCCCTCGAATCTCATGCGACGGTTCCAAATGATTTTACGAGACAGCAACCTCTGGAAATTTTAATGGCCGAGGACAATATTGTAAATCAGAAATTGGCTGTTAAGATATTAGAGAAGTTTGGTCATAAGGTTGAGATAGTGTCTAATGGAAAGATGGCATTGGAGCATTTTATGTCGAAGAGATATGATCTAGTAAGTCGAAAACTCTTTTTAATGTTAATTTTCGACGGTGACTCGATAGCTAACGACATGCGCTATTAATTAAACAGATTCTAATGGATGTGCAAATGCCCATAATGGGCGGCTTCGAGGCAACTCAGAGGATACGCGAATATGAGAGAGAACATGGTGGTCACGTGCCAATAATAGCCCTGACGGCACACGCAATGATAGGAGACCGAGAGAAATGCATATTATCCGGAATGGATGAATATGTCACGAAGCCACTAAGTTCGTATATTCATTTGTCTTTCAATTGATACCTGTAAATATATGTCATGCACTTGCTAAATTATTTGGACTTAGGAATGAACGATCTTATCGCTACAATAAACAAATTCCCGATGAAAAATTCAATCGAAGAAGCACACATATCAGACGGTCGCAGCAATAATCAGGTAAAGGCAGCTCTTCCGATGATTTTTTGATCTTTATCATCAGACAGAGAATACATTTTTAAAGATTGAAATATTTTCATTTCATGTTAGCAGGAAGGAAACAAATAATCTTCGCCTAATATTACTTTTTCTTTTTATAAATTGTTTAATTAAAATCTTTAAACTTTCATGTATTTTACTTATTACAATCCTTTTCTTAATAATAAAGATAATTTTGGCATTATAAAAGATGAAGGTAGAAACAATTTTTTTTCCTGATTTAGCCATAAACATTACATGGTTTTTTTCCTGCCTTTAATCACAGTCGTGATCAAATATTTCATTTATCTTCCACCCAATATGTAATTATCACATCATATCTTTTTAAATGCTGTAACATCAATTTTGCTTACTTTATGATCAGTGATTATATCATAACAGTTGCGGAAAATCATCTCTATATACAATACTTTACTACCCCATGCCACTAAGTACAGTATGGTAACGCCGAGATTAGGTTCCCTGGAAGGGTCAAGTTTTTGAACAGTTATAAGTCCTTGGACCCTAAAATCGCAAAATGATTTTTTTTGTTCAACCTACCTTTTGCACCACAACACTGAAAATACGCCTAACTTGTTTATACAGTAGCATCGCTATGTAAATTGAAAGTTATTATTATTATAAATAAATAAAATTATTTTTTTAATATAAAATTATATAATATTTTTGCTTTTTTTTTTTTTATTAATGTCAGATATTAAGAAACAGATAAATTTTAATTTTATAAATATTTAAATAATCAATTATATATGTAATAATATTAAAAATCAAATATAATTAATTTTACATGTAATTCTATTTTGAATATTTAAAAATAATATTATATTATATCTAATTTAGAAAGAATAATCAAAATCAATTTCTTATCTTGTTTGATTTTAAAATTAAAAAAAATTGTAATTAGTTGTAAAAGTTTAACTATTTTTATTAGTTAAAACAATAAGACAAATTTTTAATATAAGAAAATATTAAAACAGATATTATAAATAGATAATTCAATTATTTAAATTTAAAAAGTCAAAATTTCAAAAATATCAATAAATTTTTTTAATATATGTAATATAATATAATATATTTTTTTAATGTTTTTATTTTTATTTTTACAAAATATCTTTATTAATTTATTTTCAACTTATAACTATTATTAATACAATATTGCTTTTTTAACTTTTGAGAATTTAATTTATTTTGCTTAATATTATCTTTGTTTTATTTTGTTAAATAATATATTGACAATTTAAAATTTTTAAATATAATATTTATTTTAATATAATACTTGTATCCTTTTATATTATAATTATAATAAAAAATTCTTTTATTTTTCTTTTGTTATTTAAAAATTCTTTTTAAAAAATTCTTAAATTGTTTATTTTTTATTTCACATTTTTATTTCTTTTATTTTTTATTTTTTATTTCTTTTTTTATCTTATTTTTACTTTTTTTAATATATTCATATTTTTCTTCTTTTTTAATTGTCAAAATTAGATTTTTTCTTCTTTTTAAAGTTTTTTTTCTCTAGATCTTTATTTTTTTTTGAAAAATTATTTCTTATATCATTAATACTTTAGCCAATTAACTTATTTTTTTACAAAACTATATTTAAAAATAGTATTTTTTTAAAATATAGGCTTTAGAAAATTTTTCTTATTTATAATTTTTTTAAAAAAAACAAATAATTTATCTCTTCAAAGAATCAATATGATTATTATTATTAAATCTAATATTGTTTACTTTTTAATAGTTAAAATAAATATATTTTAAAAATTATTATATAACTATTATTATCCAAATTTTTCAAAAAGTTATGCTTAAAAAAAATGATAATTAATATCAATATAATAATATTAATACTAAATTGTTATAAATATTATATTAATAATTAATAAAATCTAGTAAAATAATATATAGTTATCAAAAATTATAGTTATTTCACATGACCTGTGGGTCTATAGCACAGTGGTTAGTGCTTCACAAGTCAGATCACAAGATACTAGTTCAACTCCAGGTGAAGGCAGTTGAATAGAATAAAATAGTATCTGGTACCATAACCTGTCAAGTGTCATTTCTTAATACAAGTCGATTTACATGTAGATCCTGCAGGCAATGAGATTGTGACTATCAAGAAAAAAATGTTGGGATGTGACGATCATCTGGTTGGTGATATGACGATCGCTGGAAGTAGTAAAAGAAGTGTAAGGTTACCAGTTCTAAAAATGAAAAAAGACAAAAGAATTGACGATCGTTTTCCTATGGGTATGAAGAATTGCTCCTTTATGAAAAAAAGTCCAAATCCAATCCAGTAATTCATTGGCCTTGATGGTTACTCATACCAGATAAGGCAGCCTAAATCAGCAAAAAGTCCTTACCTGTTTTTGGGTAACTCAAGAAAGATAGAAAATTACAGTTAGAAATGAGTTAAAAGACATGAAAAAGCGAATGGTAAATGCTTGGGTAAGCAAGCAGTGTGGTAGACAATACCCAGATGGATCACACATGTGGATAGATTCTAGTTAATATAAAATATTAATATAGCTTAAAAATTTAGATATGTAATATATGTAATAACCTAACTATATTAATAAAAACTAGAGTAATGTTTCACCTTAGCAGTTTAAAAAAATAATATATATATATATATATAGTTATTTCACAAATAATAAAGGTTTTTTTACTTATCTTTTGACTATATAAACTATTGTATAAGATTAGATAATAATATTTATAAGAAACTCTAACTTTATTTTATTTAAACACTTTTCTTAACAAATTACTACTTTATATTAAATATTCTCTTATATACTTTTTATTTTATACTTGAGTTAGATCTTATTCAAATATTTAAATAATATAGTTTTCTATATAAAATATTTTATAAAATGTAACTATTCTTTTCCTTAACTTAACTCAGGTTTGATTTTTCTGAAATAGTTCTAAAGAAAGTTAAAAAAATTAATTTTAAATATATTAAATAAAAATCTAATTATTACTAGTGATATCTAATTAAAAAAACAACTATTTAAATATTTGATTAGATTATTTAATTGAAATTTAAAGCAAAACATTATTATACCTAAGGATAAGTTCTTAAATTATTTAGCATATAAAATTTTACAGATCAATTATGTCTCTTTTGAAGAAATATAATTAATTATTTATTACTTTAATAGGAACATAATTCAAAAAACACTTGAATCAAGTGGCCTAAATTATAAAAAACCTTTGTAAATAGTTTTTTTTTTGATCTTGTATTTAAAAAAAAACTTTTTTAATAGTGAGAGATATTTGAATTATGTTCTTGCCTTTAATTTAGAAACCCATCTTTAATTATGCCTATTATATATCAAGTCATATTTAAATAATATCAAAAAAAACAAAAAATAAATCAATTATAAACCTTATATTTAATTTTTTCTAATAAAAAGAAATGTATATTATATTATTAATATTATAATTTTGTAATTACAAATCAAACATAATAAAAATAAAGTATTATAATTATTTGTTCTTTTAAATAACAACAACAATAATATTAAATAATATTAAAATAAGTATTTTTTGAATTTTAAAATAAGTTAAATATTAATTAAATATAAATTTTTCAAAAAAATTTTTTTATTGCAAACAAGTATTAAATGCAAAATATTTTATTAAATATTTGTATATTATTATTATTATTATTATTATTATTTTATTGCAAATAGGTATTAAATGTGTGATATTTATTAAACATTGGTTTATCGTCATTATATTAACAATCTTTAGTTACAAAGTAATTAAATTAATTGTAGCCTATCACAACTAGTCAATCAGCATACATTGAGACCAAATAGGTTTTTATATATTGAAGGTGTTAAATGGCTAATGCCTATTTAAAATGATAAAACTATAACTGAAGTAAATATTTTTTTGTCAGTGAGATTATTAAATTTTTCTAAAGTATTTAGTATTTTTTAAAAAGTATTGAAAGTTTATGAATTAGTGATAATAGTTTCACTGAAGATATTAGTTTTTTTTTATTTGATGCCTGAAGATGTCAAAGTAGTAGCAGTAGTTGAACATTGTTTCTAAATTTTGTATAAGGCTTTAAGAGAATAGTTTGAGATTTATTCTTTTTTTTGAAGGATATTAAATAGTAAAGCAAACTTGCCTAAAGTAAGATTATGGAAATAAGATCCATTGAGATTAGTGAGAAGTAATTGGTTTGCTTTTGTTAAGTTAAGTTTTCTTTTTGGTATATTAATAAAGATTATTGTTTCAAGTTTGTTTCTTTTTTTCCTTAAAGTTAATAGGCTTTGGTGGCATATAAAAATATGACTAAGGTCTTCTGGATATATATTACAACATGGGCATAAATTATCAGTATAGAGTTAAAGGTATCTGTTGTGAAGTTTTTTTCTGATTCAAAGTTGATTCACTATTAATTTTGTTCTAAAGATAGCTAAAGATCTGTAATTAATGTTATCACTTGTTTTGAGCTCTTTGTTAAATTTGATGATTATGTTTAATTCAGAAAGTGATTTGGGTTTGTAGATTGCAGATGAACTGAAAAGAATGTTAAAGAGATTAATTATAACATTTAATGTGTGGGGACATTATAATGTTAAGATTAATAAAGAAAAACTTTATTAAATATAAGAAAAACCAGACAACTCTGTTATTTCCCAAAGGAAAAAGGACTTTCTTATATAGATAATTTTTCTATATAAATAAATAAAGTAATAATACATAATTGAATATAATACATATAATCTTA